AAAAAAAAAAAAAAAAAAAAAAAAAAAAAGATGAGAATTTCAGTCTTTTAATATTAAAGTTGGAAGAGCAGGGTAGATCCAGACTGATCCAAGTCAGTCAGTTGAACTTTATGTGATAGAAAATACAGCATTAGTGCAAGTGTTAAATTAAGAAAGTGATACAATTAGATTTTTATCTAGAAGAACATTTTGGAAGCTGAGTAGAAGATGAATTGGAGATAGATGAGAGCCTGGGAATAGACTGATAGAATTTAACCAGAAACTTTATTTTGAGTAGTTAGGTTGATATACTACAGGAATGGAAGAATTTTTGGGTGCACGAAATACTTTTCAGTTAAGTTCTATGCGTGTGGTTTATTCAGATATAGTAAGAAATACTAGCCAATTTTACTTTTTTTTTTCCTTTTATAATTGGGGGTTAAACCCAGGGAGCAATGAGCTATAGCCACAGCATTTTTAATTTTTATTTTGAGAAAGAATCTTGCTTAGTTGTCCAGGCTAACCTCGATCTTGAAATCTTCCTACCTGAACCACCCACATAGCTAGGATTACAGGCGTGTACCACTATACCTAGATAAGTCTTTCTTCTTTCAGATCCTGTGTAGATGACTTCATCCATTCTTGCTATTAGTATTTTGCTTCACTTTTTTTTTGTCATATCACAGATGACATTGAATAAATAATCACAGAAGATTGAGAATTGAAATGACCAGCTTAAAAAATCTGGTAAAATTTCTCATTTTGTGGACTTAAAATGTATTCAAATATGTGTGTGAAACCCACACTGTCTTTATTCATTTTGTAAAAGCTATTACTCTGCAATATTTGTTCAGTGTTTGGTTATAATGATACAGATTTGGATACCTGATTATAAAGGAACAGAGGTTAAGACTTATATGGTGTCTGGGAAGATTTTATTTATACTTTCTTCTCACTTCATCTCTTCAGTGAGACTGTAGAGGCAACAGATTGGATATTCTTCATTTTATCCTTAATTTCCAGCCATCAAATGAAATTCATACTGCATTTGAGCAGATAGTGCCCTTATTTATCTTTTTGTCCCTCATTCTAACAGGAAAAGGTGATTGTGCTCCATCTGCTAAATCTGCTCGGGCTTATCATCTCTTTCTGACCTTTAGGAAATTTATTGCCCTAGGTAGTGAATCTTTTCTCATAAGCATTAAAACAGAACTTCTCCTTTCTCTTTATGTTCCTCTTAGCTTATACTGCCATGTTCTTGTCTCTCAACCCAACTTGATGAAGTTGTCTAAACCTGTTACTAATACTTTCTCACTTGTTTAGTTTCTTTCTTAATTCATCCTGAAGTACTTGATGTTCACCTGAATCTCTCTTTGGTGGGGGGAGGGGTTTGAAACAGGGTCTCACTATGTAGTTGAGACTGACCTGGGACTCACTGTGTAGCCCAGTTTGGTCTCGAATTCATAGTGATCCTCTTGCCTCAGCCTCCCAAGTGCTGGGATTACAGGCATGCACCACCACACACGGCTCTTTTCATCTTTCTTGAAGCATATTCTTTCCTATTTTCTTGCAGTATATTTTCTTTCCTGCTTTCTTTTCTCTGTAACTTAAATTAGGTTTGTATTCTTCATAGGCCACCTTCTAATCTCATAGTCCATGAGTGATATAACTTCTTTGGCTGGGGCTCTTCACTTTGTACATATTGTTAGGTCCTGTTTTAACGTACACATCTTTTTCTGTGCTTTAGACCTGTAGGTCTAGTTTCCTTACATACGGATGTTACAAATAGTTTAAACTCAGTAATCTTCAAGTATGCACTCATTAACTGCCCTCTTCCACCGACATCATTTTCAGTAGTTCCTCTCATTGAATGGCCATCTACCCTGTCACCCAAGCTAGAATCCCCTTTATTGTCCATCCTCTCCTTTGATTCTTTTTGTTTTTGTACTGTCAATTGAACTAGGAACCTTGTGCTTGCAAGGCAGGCAGCTGCACCACTGAGCTACACCCTCCCCATTCTTAATGTGGTTATTCTGATAAGATAAATAAGTTTTAAGCTATTTGAGATAGTTTTCTTTGTTGGTTATACTTTCTAGTTTTCATTACTGTTGTAAATACAGGTGTTATTAGACACGTTTGATTTTTCTTTTTTACCTTTGGTGCTACAAATTGAACCTGGGGCTTCATACGTGCTGAGTACACTCTATACCACTGAGATACATCTGAGCTCAGCACCCTGAATTTTTAAGGTTATTTTCTACCATATGTATTAGAGATTATTACAGATCTAAAATAAGAATGTTAGTTTACGTGTAGTAAAGAAAATTTTCAGGAATTAGTGTTTTAGTAAACAGGATTATATTCAGTATTTGTTCTAAATTATTTAGGTGTATTTTTACTTAGCCACCTTTTTGGGATGAAAAAATAGTTCATTGGGTCTTTAGTTTGATATTGTATTATTACCAATTAATACATAGAGATGTTTGTCTTTACTGATAAAATTCCTGCCATATCCCACTATTTTCACCATTGCATGCTCATTTGATTTCCAGTCTTGTTTTTAATAAAAAGAATAGAAATTGTCTCTTATCACTTCTAAATATCCTTCTACAGTCATGTTGTAGACCTTATAAACATCTTAGTAACAATTAACTTTAAAGCTTAATTTTTGTAAGTAACAGTTGCAAATGAATGTGTGCTTCTTTTTCATTCCACTTCAGTAAAATGGATGAAAATTGTGAAAGATTAAAGACATTAGAACTTGTTCTGGTCTGAATTGGTTATTGGATTTGTTGACTAATTCAGCAACTGTAATTGAAGTTTCCCTTTCTTACTGAATTCTTTAAAACAGTAAGCCCTTTTTCTGGCTTTATTTTATCTCTGATATTAAGTAGATTGGAAGGGAATGAGCTATGAGGAGCAAAGATTGTGCTGTATAAAGAAGTGATTTTTTTTTGACAGTAGATAATACTCATTTTATCTTAGGGCAGTTCAAATCTCACTCTTTTTGGGCCAGTGGGTTGTTTCTCATCTGTATTTTTTTCTTTAGATATTAGGATCAAGGAAGAAGAACCCGATCCTGAAGAGTGGCAGCTCAGTGGTGATTCTACATTGAATACCAATGACCTAACACACTTAAGAGTACAGGTGGTAGATGAAGAAGGGGACCAACAACATCAAGAAGGAAAAAGACTTCGGAGGGTAGCTTGCACCTGTCCCAATTGTAAAGAAGGTGGTGGGAGGTATGCAGACATAAACCATATTTTGTGGTGTTTGTTTGTTTAAGAGAGTGAATATCATCACCCTAATTTTTAAAAATACTGCATGCCATGTCACTTTTTTTTTTTTTTTAAAGATTTTTGAGACAGGGTCTCTGGGCAGTCCAGGCTGGTCTCAAACTCATAGCAGTCCTGCCTCAGCCTCCCAAGAGCTGGGGTTACAGGCATATATGACCATGTCAGGCTTGTGTCACTTAATTATGGGAAATTATTTCACTCTATGACTATTTTAGGTGTTTGACTATATGAGTGTGGCAGAAGTTAGAAAACAAAATGTGTGAAAGTCAATTTTCAGATTTGAAGGCCTTTTAGATTAAAATTTTACTTTTTAAACAGTGTTTTAGACACTGGTTTTACAGGCCCACATCAGAAATTAGTCTGCTTACAGATTAGCAATGAATTTTGCTTAAAGATTTAAAAAATTGATTTTTGGCTGGAGAATTGCGGTTATGCTAAAAATAAGCTGAGAAGTTCAGAAATAGTTGATAACCATAAACATTTCTATTTTTAACAAATGGAAAAGGCCCTAGTGAGGGGATTTAAAAGTGTTGTTATAGTATTTCAATCAGTGTTTTTAAAAATAAACACAAAGACAAAAATAATAGTAAACTCAGAACCATCTGTAATTATGTTAAAGGTGGACTAATAATGTTTATTAAGAGATTGTGATTCATGATTTTTACAAAACTCATAAAATCCATGCTGATAATTATAAGGAACACCTCAAATAATTGACACAATGATGTTGAGAAGCTGAAGGATGAAGACAGATTAGGTAAATGTTGACAAGAGAACTTGGATAGTCATGTTAATATTAGGCATAGTGGGATTAAGGTAGAAAACATTTAATGGACAAATAAGGATGTATTTCTTGTTAATAATAAAGCTTTACTTGTCTTGGTACTTTTTGCATAGCTTTGAAGTAGAGTAAAATCTGATAGAACTCCAAAACCGTATCAACCAAATCTTCAAGTCATAGTGAAAAGCTGTTGCTCTTAGGCACTGTGTAAGTAAGCGAATATGCAGTGTAATTATGTATGTAGATATGCACAGTTCACAAGCTTATTGTCTTTCTGCCTCTTTGGGTTGGTCTTATCAGATGCTTTGTACTTGGCCAGCCCATCTGCATTCATTAATAATAATGACAACTGCTAACATTGAGAACATATTATGTTCCAGACAGTCTTATAAGCGAGGCATAGTGAGTCTAAATTACTCCTGAGAACACAGGTACCTGGGATTTCGGCCCAGTTACTTATGTAGAGCCTTAACCACTATACTGTACAGCCTCCAGAGTGGATCTGCTTCTGTATCTGATCCTTATATATTTGTATTTATTATAACCACTCAGTTGTTTAAAATAATTTATTTGTTCCAGTGTGGAACTCTGGTTAGGCATTGTCTTTTCTGAAATTGACTCTCATTTTAGAGAGGAGCTTCAGGATATAATTATTTATGTAAGTCAAATCTAATTTGAGGCCAAGCCTGGCCTCTTATTTTACTTACTCTTGAAGTAAAAATCTTTTAATTAATTATGTTTATTAAACTAACACTTGCTTCTAAAAATTCAGAAGTAATGAATATTTTAAAAAGCACCCAAATCCTACTGTTTGAAGATAAATAACTATTGTGAACGTTTTCTATGTATTCTACACATTACATGTATTTTTAAGTAAAATCATTTTTTCGTGGTTTTACATGTCTCTTCTTTTGAGAATTTTTGTGACCATATTTCCAAGTCTTCATCATTATCTATGGCTATATAGTATTCTTATTGTATGAATGTATAATTTCAACATCTTTTGTTGGGGGCTTGTCATAACCCTCACACACATCTTTACACATTTGTCTGATAATCTCGTATAAGTTTGCAGACGTGAAATTGCTGGGTCAAAAGGAATTGTCTGCTAGAAAGACTGTTTCAGGTACTTTTTCCACCAGCAGTGTATTAGAGCGCCTGCTTCCCCATATTCTGACCGACAGTGGAGTTTGTTTGTTTGTTTGTTTTTGTACGGGGGAAGCCAACTCAGGACCTTGCAACAATTTCATCATATTTTATGACCTTTTGGAGTTTGATAGGTGAAAAATAATTCCTTATATTGTTTACTGTATCAATTAATGACTTGGTAAGGCTGCACTTTTTTATTGTGTTTAACCATCTTAAAATTTGTGAATTATTTTGTGAGTCTGTTAATCTGTATATTAACTGTGTTGTATGTGCAAATATATTTTTCTTGATTTTACATTACCTTCAACTTTGCCCATGTCAGTGGTCTGCAAATGTAATATAAGTAAAGGAGTTCCACCACTTAACCATTTGAACCTTTTTTTTTTTTTTAACTACAAACAATTTAAGTTGGTTGATCTTTTATGATGCCTCATTACCATACTATTAAAAGCTTTACTTCTCCCAAGAATTACAAAAATACTGTTATTTTTCTCTAAAATTTGTATCTGTTTGTTTTTGAGACAGGGTCTCACTATGAAATCCAAGCTGACTTTGAACTCACTATGTAGCCTACGCTGACCTCAAACTCAGAGTAATCCTCTTGGCTCAGCCTCCTAAGTACTGGGATTACAGGCAGCAGCACCATGCCTGACTTCATTTTTAATAGCTTATTCTAAGCAATAAAAATTAAGGTTCTTAAGGAGAAAACTATTGTTTCTTAGAGCTCATTTGACCAAATTTGATTAGTTATATACACAGTAGGCACATTTATATATACAATTGTTGTATCTGATTAGTAGAAACAATAAATTCAAACTCTTCTGAGGTACTCTGCAAAGATGAGATGGGGGCACTTAAGTTTTTTTTAAAGAACAAAATATTGGCTTTTTTTCCTCATTTAAAAAAAAAAGGGAAGCTGGGAGTGGTGGCACACGCCTGTAATCCCAGCACTCAGGAGGCTGAGGCAGAATGATGACTGAATTCGAGACCAGTCTGGGCTGCATAGTGAGTCCCAGGTCAGTCTCAACTACATAGTGAGACCCTGTCTCAAGAAACAAAACAAAACAAAACAAAAAAAGGGATATAGACAAGATAGTATTTTTAGAGAATAATTTCATACATTCATCTTTAGAGAACTGTTTTATTTTTGTGAGCAAGATGTAAAATAAAATATTCAAAAATTATAATCATTTAGCCAGTTTTCATTGAGCACAGACTAGTAGGAGAGACCGTTGCATTAATGTAAAATACTTTCTCTCACCCTAAGCAAAAGACACTGGATGTTTTCTTCTCCATCCTGAATTTACCTATTCTATTTCATTATATTGTCATTATTAAAATATTGGGAGCAAGTTTTGGCATTTAAGAATACAAACTTAAAATTGTTAATTTTTTCAAATTATGTGATAGTTATTAGTGTGTTGTGTTAATCAGGAAGTAAACATGCTTACTTGATATTTGTTGGGAAATTCACTTCAGTTCTCTTCCTTCATAGGACAGGCCATTAATGTATATATAGCATTTGGAGAACTTAAATTTTCTATTTAGGGAGAAAATTTGATCTGAGTGTTGAGCATTTTTCTTAAAAAATTACAAGCATTTAAATTACATGTAACTCTGCCTTCATTTTTTCCCCTTTAAATGTTCTATTTTCAAACAATATTCTTTTCCTTATATATAATTCAATTGAAAATACCTTTCACTACTGTTTCTTGGTCCTTTGAGAACCTTGTTGCCATTAACTTGTTTTAATTTTGTGCTTTGCTAGTGCTCCAGACTAAATTTTGCTTATTTTGTGAAATAGCGCTTTTGAGTTTCGAATATATTAATTGACCTGAATGATAGTATTAGAGGAGAGGCAAGGAGTTGTGAGTTGATGAGTGAACTGAATTGGGTTCTCTGTGAAATTGCTCTGGTGAATACAATATGTAAAATTGGTTTGTACACCAGTAGCCAAAACAAACATTGCTCTTGTCTTGGTTGATTTAAGACTATAGTAAATTTTAAAAGGCTAAATTAACTGGAAGCAGTCTTTGGAATAGCCATTAAGGCAGAAAACCTGTTTCATTCAAACCATCTTTTTGGAATTGTAGGAAGTGGGGGTGGACTGGAGCAGAAACTAGAATTGTGTTAGATTATGACATCCTTGCCCGTGAGACAACAGCATGACTCCTCCTTGTCTTTACTTATGCTATTCCTCTGCCTGGAATGCCTTCCCTCCTTTCTATCTAAATCCTATCCACCTCCACGAAGCCTTCTCTAACTACTGGAGCCCACATTGATGTCTCCCTGTTCAGAACACCTATGGCATCTAACAGCCAGCACTGCACCGTTTAGCATTTGTCCTATGGCAATTTCACATGCTACTGAGTGTGAGTACATTAAAATATAAATGTGGTGACATATGCATTTTCTAGTAAAATTTGAAAAACAACAGGTATATTATATACAGGAGGATTTACAGACTGTGGGAAGTTTACAGGCTACACCTAGACTGAAATTGGGGGAGGAGGGAGGGAATTGGGATTTAAGTATACTTTTTTTGTTTTAATCTCAAACATTACAGAGTTTATGCAAAGTGATTTTGCTAACTACAGTGTCTAAAGTCATGGTTTTAAAAACTATTTAGTAGTGAACCTAATTTTTGTTTTTAGAAGTAACATTTTGTAGTGTTTATACTATTCAAATATAATTTCTGGAATCAAGAGTTTTCTTCTGGCTTAGGCTAAGATGCTACGGTTCTCTCATATAAGCACATATCTCAAACTCTATTCTTACTATCAGATACAGAAATATGTGAAATTTTGCGATGAGAAAATGGTATTTGTTGCAGCTCTTGTGTATTAATTTTGGATATCTTTGCATGGCTTATGGGAGGTAAATTTTAACTGTGGAGATAATTTTGATTTATATTTGTTTCATTGAATGCTAAGGGAGTTAAGACCATAGCTTTTAGCTGGACTTTTAAAAACTTTCAGTCAGTATATATTCAGGTTTTTCCATTTGAATATTTGAGTAAATATGCTTAAGTTGTGTTAGCTTAATTGTACTTAAACTGTCTATCCACATTTAATTGTACCTATGATCACTTATGTGTACATTCTTTGATTTATATATTTTTAAAAATTAGCTAATATCATGGCTTTTTAAATAAAGACTAGTTTCCCATACAGTTAGTTTAATTGGGCCTATGCATAGTCTCTTGAATGGTTCTGATGGAATAGTAATTAGTTTTGTTCTACATTAGTTAAATTTAAATGTCCTTTTAATTACATATTTTTTAGCATATTTATATTTGGACAGCAGTCATTCTGGAGTAAAATGAATGTGTAAAACATTACAAATATATATTTTCCTTTAAATATATTTAAAATGGTCTTGGTTTTATTTACCTCATGGTAATAGAATAATATCTTCTATTTGAAACTGAACTTGAGGATATAAGATCTAAGTGGTAATGTCTGACTGAATACTTTCATGAAAGTGTATCTTATTTTGTGTGTTTTTTAGAGGTACCAATCTTGGGAAAAAGAAACAACACATTTGCCATATACCAGGATGTGGTAAAGTCTATGGGAAGACCTCACATCTGAGAGCACATCTGCGTTGGCATTCTGGAGAACGCCCTTTTATTTGTAACTGGATGTTCTGTGGTAAAAGATTTACTAGAAGTGATGAGTTACAGAGGCACAGAAGAACACATACAGGTTACTAATATTTACCTTTTTGTTGTTATTGTTGGGATTCAAACCCCTAGGCCTTGCACATACTAAGCACACACTCTGTCCCTGAGCTGTACTCCTTAGCCTAATTATTTGCTTTTGAGACAAATGAATTACAGGGCTCTATGACTTGTTTGATATTTTTTGTACCATACCTTTGAGTTAATTATTTTTACTCCTGATCCATTTTTTTCTTAATGCTGTAACAAGAATAATTCTAATAAATTTGGAGTTTCACCTTTCCTGCTTTGATATCAGCAAAGTAAGGGAAAGGCATTTTATCAAGGAATAGCTACAGCGCTGTTACCTAAACTCTAATTTGTGTTTATATGGTATTGTATGGTTATTATGAGATGGACCTAGGCCTGACCCAAGCTGAAGTCTAACTTAATATAATTTTCTCCTGCCACCATGTAAAATTAAGTGAACAAAGTGTTTACCAGTCTGCTTAACAATGAAGAGCTGAAAAATAACTGTATTTACAATTCCTAGAGAACTTAGAAGGAAGAAATGTGGTGAAATAGAAAAACAACGTGCATTTTGAAGTCAGCTACATCTGGACTCAATCCGAGTTCTCTATTATTAGATCGTAGAAATAAGCTGTCTCTGATACTGCTTCATACTTAATTTGACCTTAAATATAGTGTAAAATAACCTGTGAAGTATGTAACTTACTAGATTCTCTCTGCTTGCTTTAGTTCTGATCTCTTATCAAGTAGGTAGACTGATAAGATTAACTTGTGTGCAGCTGCAACAATATAATTAGATTAAAAATATTTTGTTTTGCAGCGTTGTATGTACTGTTGAATATGCTCAAAGGAGAAATAATTATTGCTTTGGGTAGGAAGGTATTCTTGTTTGGGATAGTGAGCTGGGGTAGTAGACCTTAAAATGGTCCCCAGCAGAATTTTCCAGTGGTATTTGATCAGTAGATTATAAATAAGGAATAATATAAATGAGGGGAAAGGTCTTTGATCAAATAAATGTGGGTTACTTGTAGTTCAGATAAGTACTAGTAGGTATCAGGCAGTACAGTATTTTCTTGGACTTGAATGTATCTTTAAGTAGGGGTTTTAAAGTATGTAGAATTTCCCAACCTCATTTGATTATTGTGGCTTTTGGTGTAGACTGATGTCCCAAGAAAAACTGTTTCACCTAGAGAAATGATGATAATGTTGGCAGAAGTGAGAGGCCATTTTGTGATGCTAATAATGTGAGTTAAGATGAGCTTTTACATAACCCATTTCTCTTAAAGGTTTGAGACACATTATAGAAGTCTGTAAACTAGGCAGTGGGTACCTTCAAGTTACCCTTGCATTTCCATATCATTTAATACAAAGTTGAGATTTTAAAGTGTAATAAAATTGGGTATTTTAGGAAGAGGGTCTGTCATGGATTTGTTGGATTGCAGAGGGCAGACTAGAGTTTCTTTGCATTGTAGTTTGGGCATGAAATTTGGTGTGGACCTACCTAGAATAAAAGTGCTGGAATGAGAAAGGGAAAAAACTATGAAAATGTTATTAGATTTATTGATTGATTTCTCTCTGGATTCCTTTTAGGGTGGCCTTTGCCTTTTCCATATTCCTCTTGCATAGTAGATCTTTGATGTAATAGAAGTTCGGTCTGTCTTTTATTAAAAAGTATTTTATTCATGCTGGAAAATATGTTAACAACTGTAGCATTAACATATTAGGGTTGTGCATGGTTATCCATCTGAAATAAGATCAGTCAGCCAACTCCATTCTCAGAATTAATCTTATTGAACCTTGAGCTTACATCTGTGCTTTAATCTAGAAGTACTCTGTTACTTGATTTCATGTTGTTGGAGGTTAAGTAACATAGACCTAGACCATGACATGTTAAGTTTAAAAGGATACTTTTGTTCATTTAGACTTTAAAGAAGTCTGTTACAGATGGTTATTTTTTGCTTGTTTCATTTAAGAAGTGCTCCTGGACCCTTAGAATAGTTGAGGAATTAATCTTAATTGAATATGAAAAGCAGTACATTTGAGTATTGCTTTTCATCAAAAACTAAAGATAACATTTATTTTGGAGACATTGTGTAAAAAAATCAAGAAGAAGGGACAGCTCATGAAACCAATATGTTTTTTTTTTTCAACCAATACAGTTTTAACATATTCTTGCTCTTCACCATCAGCCGTCAGTGTTAGTGTACTTTGTGTTTCAGGAGAGAGACTGATCAGGCCACCACAATTGAATTTTAAAAACTAAGTGACCGACTTTTTTCTTAACAGGTGAGAAGAAATTTGTTTGTCCAGAATGTTCAAAACGCTTTATGAGAAGTGACCACCTTGCCAAACATATTAAAACACATCAGAATAAAAAAGTTATTCACTCTAGCAGTGCAGTGCTAGCATCTGTGGAAGCTGGGCGAGATGATACTTTGATTACTGCAGGAGGAACAACACTTATCCTTGCAAATATTCAACAAGGTTCTGTTTCAGGGATAGGGACTGTTAATACTTCCGCCACCAGCAATCAAGATATCCTTACCAACACTGAAATACCTTTACAGCTTGTCACAGTTTCTGGAAATGAGACAATGGAGTAAATATTACACAAATACTTATTCATTGTGGTTATTTTTATACAGTAGTGAGAAGAATATTGTTCCTAAGTTCTTAGATATCTTTTTATTGATGTGCAAAAATTTTTGGATTGACAGTAACTTGGTTATACATGACACTGAAATGCCTTACTTTGTATGATATTCCATAGTATATTAAAAATGGTAAAATTGCATGGGTTTTGTAGGTACTTTTGGAATCTAGAAGAAATGAAATTTTACCAAGTTATATAAAGAGAAAAATTGAATTTAACAATGCGAATGGTAGTCTAACCAAATGCATCAATCCTGTGTGGTTTAGTGTAAAAATGAGAACATGTTGGTATTTATCTATTGTAAGATAAAAAAAAAAGCTGGTGGGTGAAAGAAATTAAGAAATCATGTTATGATAAAAATTTTTGTAATTTTCTTGATGACTGGAATTTTTATTATGCATAACTGACAAATCAAGTTTCCAAGCAAATGTTACATAGTGTAGGCTTTACTTAGCTTTATCAATTTGTCATTTTGAAGCTAATTATTTTAATTAGGTTAACTATGTACAATATTTTAAGCATTACTCTTGTAAGATTTTGAAAACTACATTTTAACATGGAACTCTAGGGATAGTCACCTTTTAAATCCTGTTGAAAAGCCATGTTTAAGATTTAATTTGCCAAAATAATGTCTTGTTAATATTCTTTCAGTAATGAAGTTGGGCAATATAACCAATGTTTAAAAAAAAAAGTTTAAAATGTATAGGTTGAGGCATTTGGGTGGCAAGAAAATGTCATAGTGAATTATCCCTTTTCTTGAATATTGGAGGACCAAAAAAATAAGGTGTATTGCGTCTTAGCAGTGATTTTTATCGAATCTTGTTTCCAAAAACCGTATGTCTGCCAGGGCCTTAAAAGCCATTATGTAAATTACCAGTAAAGTATAACATATGCAAACATAACAAAATCACTTCCATAGTGACAATACTCCAACCATATGGATATTAGTCATAGAAAACTAGAGGTTTTATGATATTTTTTTAAGTCTTTTTTTTGGGGGGAGGGGTCTAGGTAGTCAGTCTGCACTTAAGTATCAACCATTTTCCTTTTTCTGCTTCTTCCCTTAAAATTTATATGTATCCAATAAACTTCATTGAAAAATGTATGTTTTTTATTATGCTGTATTTTCTTTTTATTTTTTAATTATTGTTTATATTTTCAATTAAAATGTACAAAATAAAGTTACATTGCTGGTCTTGTAAGAGCTATACGATTTTCTTAAATGTATACCTATAACTGCAGCAGTTCACCTATTTCAAAAATTTGGAATTCTGTTCATTTGTTATCTTTAAGACCACCTCAAATTTAAAGGCTACCTTATTGTACGTTTAAAGTGTATTATAACAGTGTGGTAGTTAATAAAACACTATTTTTTTTCCTTTTGAGCTTGTTGTATTCCTATGCATTTAAACTCTCGTGATGGGGAGAAAGAAAATCTGTGGTTTTCCTTTAACTTAGTCTTTTATATTCAGATTCTTGATTTCAAATACTGAAATTGTAAATGGTTTAATATTTCACTGGAAAATTAATTTTTGGGAAAAAATTGTTAACTTATATTAGTTCATATGAATTTTATTGATAGCATTTTGCAAAACTTTTTTGTGTTTTCACTTTTAAAACAGTTCAGAGAATTTCAATTTATCAAAATCTGGAATTTACATAAATATTCCCAAAAATGGTAGTGTTAAAAAAAAAACTCTAGTGACTATAGCAGGCAGGAACTATTCAGAAAAGTTGTTTTGAGTGTGTATTTAATCATGATAAAGGTAGAGGAGGAAGAATGCAGGAGATAACAACATTAAAAATCAGATTCCTTTCCACATATATACAGTAGTAGTAAAGATTTCCATTGTTTTCTACATCCACTCTGACATTGTTACTGAATGCATGTGATAACTAAACACACAGAAACATGGGCAGGTTTTCTAAATGTAAGTTGTGATATGGAAAGCAAGTGCTGCTCGGGATTACAGAAATGAATCAGTGGAATGTACAGTTACTTTGAAGTTTTGAGGATTAAAATTTGAATCTTCAAACTCCGTTAGGTAATTTCTAGAATTTATTATTTTAAATTATGTGAAGATATTAGGAGAGTGAACCTTTTTAGAGTGATAGAGGTGTTAAGTAATACTGAAATTTTTACAGTAGGTTTGTAGACCACTTGATTCGAGAATTTCTAAACATTTAGAGATAATTCAAGAAAGTCAAAAAATTATTTAAGTCTTACATTTTCTTAGTACCCAGTAGGAATATATTAGTGAAATTTAGATCTTTTTCCTAACAAATTATTCAACCTTAGGTTTAAGCAATTTTGCATAGTTCTGTATTTTTCTATTTTTAAAATGATGAATAAATTCTGAAGAACTATTTTGAGATCAGAGTTTTATAGTTACAAAATCCATTTTAGTATATGAGAATCTAATACATAAGTGTATACTCGTGTGTGCTCTTCACATTTGCTTTGTGTAAGAACTAGAGTTACTAGTGTATATTTAGTATATTTACATAAGTAATTCCACTTGTAGCACAGTCATATAGTAGATTAGATGTCTACTCTGTATGCCTCACAAATCCATCTTATTTTCTTTAGATGAATGCCTAATGACTGAAAAGTAACTCAACCGGAAAGTGCATAAACCTTTAAAGGAAGTACATCTATTGCAGAGTCAGGTGCTTTGTAAATAACTTTGGCCCTTAAAATAGTTAAAATGTTTAAGGTATTTAAAAATACATGTACAGATAAACTGTAGGCATGTCAAGCATTTTGATAGAATAGTTTTTAAACCAGTATTAATAAAATGCTGGGGAGAATTTTTAAAAGGTCAGTGTGCCTGGCCTCATCCTTGTTTTGCAGCAGGTCAGGTGGCTCTGGTAAACAGTATTATTAGAATCACTCAAAACTGATGATGTGCTGTCATGTGACATGCCATTTCATTGAGATTGAGAAATTAACTGTGTTGAAAGGTCTGCTTCAGCCTGTCCTTTTTCCTACCCTCAACCCCCATGATTGCAGTCTTTGACATTTATTAAAAGTAGGTAAAAATAGGCTCTACAGAGTGAGTTTGGGCCAAATAGAAGGAGGGAAAGGGCAGAAAAAAAAATTTAAAATGCACCTTACAGAGAGGCAGGATAGCCCCATTTCCTACTTTTAAACTCCATTCTAAATCCATGCTAAGCTGCCTACTAGATGTATGGTACTAGATAGTTTTCTTATGTCGTTAAAACCCAATTCTCATCCACAAAAAGGACATCTAATGGTTCTTAAGAGGATGGTTGTGAGGATTATGATGTAGGCATTTAACATAGTGCTGGGCTTACAGTAGGAACTCGGTAAGATCTCCCAACCTCTAGCACATCAAGTCTGAAGACTTGTAGAGAAAGGACCAGCATTCTATGGTTTTTATTGTTTTGACTGGTTCACTCCTTGAAGTTTCATTTCTAAAACAAAATATGCAAAGGGAGGCACTGAGTCTAAGTGACGATAATATCCTGAAGGGCCTGACCTGTCAGAAAGGGTGGGAAAGAATGAAGCATCTAAGTGTGTCATCTGGAAATTTCCTGATATTATTTTAGTATTTCTAAGAATCAGCCAGAGAATCTAGGCTCATTTTGATTAAAAGGTAAAGTTTCACATTTAGTGGTTAAAGCTTAAAAAAAGACCTTTAAAGCAATATGGCTTATTTCTCAAATGTCTATGACTGCAGTAAACAGACAATGGAAATGCAGGAAGTGGTAGAGTAGATGCCATCAGGGTATCCACCCAGATTATGCTCTTTTGGAGTATTATTTCCTGCTGCCTTCAGAGAGAAACTTTATTACTGAACAAGTAGTAGACATTTGATGAAAGTTGAGACACGTAGGTGCTTTGTCTTGAGAGCAGGGAATTGGAAAAATGTTTTGGGAGGCTGAATTTTGGAAAAATGCAATGGAGGGAAGAAGGGAATAAAGCATGATGACAGACAGTCAACCTTGGGAGAAAAACATGAACAGAAAAAAAAAATGTGTTTTTGGAAAAATGCAATGGAGGGAAGAAGGGAATAAAGCATGATGACAGACAGTCAACCTTGGGAGAAAAACATGAACAGAAAAGAAAAAAATGTGAGATAATGAAAAGATGAAAATAAAGTGTTTGTAGATGGGGAGGGGAGGGGGGGGTGAAGGGAGGGCAGGGGTAAGGGGAGAAAATGAGAATCAAGTCTTGTCATGTAGAGGTACAAGATCCCAACAATGAATGTAACTACTGTATCCCTAAAATGTACCAATAAACTCAAAGCTGCAAAAAAAAAAGAAAAAGAAAAACATGAACAGAATGGTTGATCTCTGATAACTGCAGCTTTTATCTTGGTGTTCATGCCTGCATTTTCTGCTCCTGGGATTCTACATCATTTCAGAACCCCACAGTGAAGCTGACCAAGCATGGTGGCAATATGTTGTAATCCCACCACTGGAGACGCTGAGCAGAAGGATTGAACATTTGAGCCCAATCTGGGAAGTTTAGCAACTCACAGAGCACTGTCTCAAAAACAAAACAGTTTACAGTAAGACTCCTCCATTCAACTTTTTCTTAGAGTTGAGGAGGTTGTTACTTGTGACCAAATAATGCCAGTGAGAATATGAGATAGTTAATTATGGCATAAAACATGGTAGTTTGAAATAGTTGGTGTCTTGGTCCTAAAGGAAATATCAACAGGAAAATAAGTGCCAGGGGAGTCAGTAGATGAAGGAGAGCTTTAGAACTTGGAACAGTCAGAAAGTGAGTACTCAGAAGGACTAATAGAAAGTGCTCATGAAGACAGACTGAGAGACTTAGAAAGTTCCTCTCTGGTGTCAAGATACCCTCTCACCAGGTTGCTGAGTCTGTGTGGTCTTAGAGAATAGTGACTTTCTGCCAGCATCAGCCTTACTGCACGCCACATGATCTTCCTGTGTGTTTTCATTATGTTTTTGAACTCAAAAAGTTTGTGATGGGGAGATAGTACTGGGGATTGAACCCAGGGTCACTCTACCACTGAACTATCTCCCCAGCCTGTTTTTTATTTTTTTGAGACAGTGTCTTGCTAAATTGCCCAAGCTGGCCTTGAACTTGATACTCTGCTGCCTCCGCCTTCTGAGCAGCTGGGATTACAGGTGTGTACCACAATGCCAGACTGTCCACCAGTTTGCTTTACTTTGCCCCAGTTACTTAGTGCTCATACCTTGATCCTTTAAAAATTCTTAGTTGTATTGCTTCTTCCTCAGTTTTACTCCTGGCAACTTTGTGACCTCATCATGTCACTAGGTGAAGCCTTTGATGAAATAGGGTAGCAAGGAAGTGTGCAGGTATTGGATT